AGAGGTTGAGTAGATTAGGATTATTTACATTAGAAAGACGGAGGTTGAGGGGGGACCTGATTGAGGTCTCCAAAATCATGAGAAGTACAGACAGGGTGGATAGCAAGAAGCTTTTTCCCAGAGTGGGGGACTCAATTACTAGGGGTCACGATTTCAAGGTAAGAGGGGAAAAGTTTAAGGGAGATATGCATGGAAAGTTCTTTACGCAGAGGGTGGTGGGTGCCTGGAACGCTCTACCAGCGGAGGTGGCAGAGGCGGGCACGATAGCGTCATTTAAGATGTATCGAGATAGATACATGAATGGGCAGGGAGCAGAGGGATACAGATCCTTGGAAAATAGATGACAGGTTTAGATAGAGGATCTGGATCGGCGCAGGCTTGGAGGGCCGAAGGGCCTGTTTCTGTGCTGTAATTTTCTTTGTTCTTTGTTCTCTGTTCTCTCCCCCAACAATGATGCTTTGTCATTACTCATCAAAAGTCATCTTGCTACTAAGTTTGTGACATATTATCATTAATTATATTTAACAGTAATTATACACTGAGTTACACAGCGATGATTGTTACGTTTCACACAGTCTTTGGCATCCAGCTCCTCGATTCTTATCTCGAAATTTCCCTAAGAAAATCAAAGTATTGTGCTCTGTGTACGAAAGAATTTTGTTCACATTATTGATGATTTATATGTCAAAATGATGCAAAGTCATTGCAGGATTAAGGGTCTCTTTTTAAATGGTTAAATATTTTTGTTGATATGCAGTCAGTTTCTTCAAAAAACAACTGACAGGCCATTCAATTCCCATCTAATCATTTTGCAGTAAACATCCTGACACTGATGTCACTGGCCAGTTTAAATGTCCTTGTACAATTTGACATAATTAAAACTGATACCATTGTCAGCACCAGTTTCAAATTTTCAAAAGCATTTTGACATGTCTGCATCCATTCAAATTTTCCTGCTTTAGGTGAGCTGCAGCTACTTTGATTCAGTTCCAAAATGTTATTGCCCATTATAAAATTAATGTATTCCCTCACCTGAGCTAAACTCTCCAGATTGAGTTTATATGTGTGGTGCTTTTTAGGTAAAGCATTCTCCATATCAACATAATGAACAGCCAAGATAATTTTTTCTGGCCTATTCCCACAAATTGATTTATAATTCTGTAATAACTTTCATAACTCACCTCAATAATTTTCTGGAAGTTAAGTCACGTTGCTATCCAATCTTTTAAACATATCTGTGATTTGCAATTGGATTCTTCAATAGTTAACTTTTGAATTTTGTGTTTTAGATTCATTGTCTCATTGTTCTCATGATTCTTTTTCACTCCTCACTGATCAAAGCCCTCAGAATTTGATACCACTTTCTCAATGCACATTCAGATTTTGGGTAATATGCATACAAAGGGGGTGGCATGGTGCTCAGTGGTTAGCACTGCTGCCTCACAGCACAAGGGGCCTAGGTTCAATTCCCCCTCAGGCAACTGTCTGTGTGGAGTTTGTACATTCTCCCTGTGTCTGCATGGGTTTCCTCCAGGTGCTCTGGTTTCCTCCCCCAGTCCAAAGATATACAGGCTGAATTGGCCACACTAAATTGCCCATAGTGTTCAGGGATGTGTGGGTTTGGTGAATGGGTCTGGGTGGGATGCTCTGAGGGTTGGTGTGGACTTATTGGGCCGAAGAGCCTGTTCCCATACTGTAAGACTTATACAAAAAAAGATATAAATTGTTTATTTTCTAAGGTAGTCATAATTTATTAAACTATCTTTGACATAAAATCTGAGCCTTGATCTGATTGTATTCCATTAGGTAATCCATGTGGTGTAAAATATTGAATTAACTTTTCCTAAAGGCACTGCTTCAGAAAATCTTGTGGAAACATCCACAACTGTTAGAAGATATTGAGTCACATTCCTGGGTTTAAAGTAAAGTCCCACAAATTTCTATGAAGGCCTGTTTCACAGTTCATCAAAAGCTAGTGCTGAAATTAAAAGTGCAGGATTAATTGAGGGTTAAGTTTTCCCCACCACCTGACATGTGTGGTAGGTCTACAATTAATGCCCATAAGGGTTTGTGCCAATTATGCACGACTGCCATTTGGGGTATCATCAGCCTGGACCCGTTTCCAGTGGACGGTAGAGAATATTTTACAAAGCACATCCCAGGTTGCCATTTATTTGAATGATATGTTAATACCTGGGAAGGCCAATAAAGAGGATTTGGAGAACTCGGATATAGTGCTTTAACGTTTCTCCCAGGTGTGTGTATGCCTTAGAAGGGAACAATATGTGTTCCAGACACCCCAAGTGACCCACTTGGGCTATCAAGTTGACAAGACTGGGTTACACACTTTGGAAGATAAAATGAAGGCGATCAAAGATGCCCCAGCTCCCATATCTGTAGCAGACCTTAGGTCTTTCCTTGGGTGGGTGAATTATTATGGAAAATTCATACTTGACTTGATTTCCATCTTGGCACCCTTACAGGTGTTATTGAGAAAGTGTCAGCCTTGGAAGTTATCATGCAGCCAAGAAGTGCCTTGAAGGGAAGTGAAAAAGCAGCACTCATCTTCTAATCTGGTGGCCCAAGTGAGAGATGGTGCTGACATACGATGCCTCCCTGGACAGTATCACGTAGTGCTTACTGACCGGTGGCCCAATGTAGAGGATTGCACGATAACTTATGGTTCCTGGACTTTGGTTGATGCCGAACGCAAATAAACCTAAATAGAGAAGGAAGGATTGATGGTCATTTTTGGCGTGGAAAGTTCCACCAACACCTTTACAGATGTGAGTTTTTCATAATAACAGAAAACAAGGTCCTGCTAGGGCTAGTTAAAGATGACAAAGTGGTGCTGGCCATAGCTTCTGGTCGAATTCAGTGGTGAGCCCTTATTCTCAGCATACAAGTACAAGTTAGAACACCGTCCAGGAAGCCAAGTGGTTAACACAGATGCCTTGGGCCGCTTCCCACTGGCAGAAACTCCACCTGGAAGAATCTGTTTTGGTTTTAACCTTCCAGGACACGTTTCTGATCACTGCTGAAAATATTCAACTGTGGGCACAAAAAGATCCTGACAGAACACTTAAGAAAGCTCTTAAAGAAGTCAAATGTATGGTATTGGAGAAGGTTTTAGGTCACTGGATAAAGGTCACATATCCTTGATAAAGCATTACATTTGTAATCCTATCTTGTGAAGACAGAAAATGGAATAGTGAGAAGAAACAGAAGCACACTGGTTTCTACAAGAGAGCAAATATTCAGGAGAACTGGAAGATAACCAAAATGATAACAACCATGCTGAATGAGTAAGTCCTCAAATAGATTTAGCAAACGATTTCTGGGCACCCATGAAGCACTGTGGTCTGCTAACAGAAACACAAATGTATTCAAGCACAACCTGTCATCACCTGATCCAGAAAGTGACCAACATTACCATTACCATCAAGCCAAGAGATCAACCCCTGGTTCAGTAAAGAGTGTAGGAGCTCATGAGGTGCACCTAAATATGAGGTGTAAACCTGGTGAAGCTATAACACTGGATTATTATCAGACTAGAGGGCAGAAGCAGCATGCAATAGACAAGGCTATGGGATCACATAACCAACAGATTAGATCTAAACTCTGCAGTCCTCCCATATCCAGTGTGAATTCCACAGGTGAGTCAATAATGGCTGCCCTTGACTTCAAAGCCACATTTGACTGAGTGTGGCATCAAGGAGCCCTAACAGAGGAATAGTCATTGGGAATCATGGATGAAACTCTCTGCTAGTTGGAGTCTTACATCGCACAAAGGAAGATAGTTATGGTTGTTAGTGGTCAGTCATTTCAGCTCCAACTGTCTCTGCAGGAATTCCTTGGCATAGTGTTCTTGGCCCAGGCATCTTCAGCTATTAATCACAAAGTCAGAAATGGCTGCTTTGTTTATGATTACACAATGTTCAGAACCATTTGTGACTCCTCATGTACTGAAGCAGTCCATGTCCAACTGCTGCAAAACCTTGACAATATCCAGGTTTGGGCTGACAAGTGGTAAATTTTATTCATGCCACACAAATGCCAGGCAGACCACCTCTAGCAAGAGAGAATCTAACCATCACCCCCTTGACATTCAACAGCATTACAATTCATAAATCCTCCACTATCAATATCCTGGGAGTTACCATTGACCAGAAACTGAACTGGAACAGCCATACTGGCACTATAAGAGCAAGTCAGAGAATATCAATCTTGTAATGAGTAATTCAGTTCCTGACTCCCCAGAAGTCTGTCCACCATCTATAAGTTACAGCCAGGAGAATGGAATACTCCTTACTTGACTGGACAAGTACAGCTCCAACAATACTCAAGAAGCTTGACACAATCCAGCACCACATTCACAAGCATTCATTTTCTCCACCACTGAAGCTCAGTAGCAATAATACCAACCATCTGCAAGATGCACTGGAGAAATTCACCAAAGCTCCTTAGACAGCTCCAAATCCATAACTACTACCATCTAGATGGACAAGCACATGTAATTTCTCTTTCAAGCCACCCAGACTTATGAATATATTTCTGTTCCTTCAGTGTTGCCGGACCAAAATCTTGCAACTCCCTCCCTTGCAGCTCTCTGGATGTCCCCACACCCCAAGGGCTGCAATGGTTTAAGAAGGCAGCTCATCACCACATTCTTCATGGGAAATTAGCAATAAATGCTGGCCCAGCCAGCACCATCTGAATGAATTTTTTAAAAAAAATTACTTTCACATGTTAACAAATCAAGCAAAGTTATTGTTGACTGTGTTCAAACATTGTTTCTAATCAACACATTCAAAGATGTTACTATTCACCTCAGGAGCAGATTAGATTTGACCCCAGGCCTCAGAGTTCAGAGGTAGGGCACTGCCACTGCACCAAAGAATGCTTTATTTTTTGGTTCTAAAATCACACAATTCTCATGCTCATGTTATTTACTGACTCTATTTTACATGGTTCCATTAATATATAGTCCAACTACACTCTTTTGTATAATTCTCTGTGTTTTATTAATCATAAATCATCTTTCGTTGAAAATAAGCATTTGCTACACCAATCCATTTATTTCGTTAGAAAGTTAACTGCGGTTAATTATGATATAATCCAACATTAGTACATTGAATTCTGACAATACAATTGCTAATGAGCCTATTATCAAATTCAATTTTATTTCTCATGCTTTAATTTTTCATTCACTTCCGATGCCATTTTCCAAATGAATCCATTTAATATTGTGTTAATTTTCAGGTACAACAACAACATTTATCATTAAATGTCAATGTTTGAGGACAAGACATCACATGCATTTTCCCATTGGCACAACTGTAAAATTTTTGAGGATCTTTTGGGTGAGGATAGAACCCAGCAGGTTTGTCGAAGTATCAAGATTTCATTTCAACTTCCTCTGCTGATGATGTAAATGACAATCCTGAAGACCATGATGTCATACATCCTGTAGAAAAAAAATATACACCATTTTAAAAATTGGAAGTCGCCATTTTTAGAATAAAATGATTTTCATATCAGAGTCAGTTGCCTTCATACATAAGCATATAACAGCAATAGCACAAGTAGGCAACTGTATGTAAATGCAAGTTACAAACTGATCTCAAGAAGAAGTTCGGTTCCACAAAATAACGCACTGACATAGCATCTTGAAGTCAACTAGCATTTCACAGATATGGAATAGGGTATTGTGTAGCAGTAGGTAAAATAGTTGACTGAAGCCGTAAACAAGGGAAGTGATATGAGGAGGCTTTATCAGAGGATTGGAATGAAGAAAGCTTTACGAGCAGAAAGAAGAGTGTAGGGTTGAGCCAGTAAAAAAAAGGTTCCATTACGCTATGTGGATTAGAGGATTGAATAAAACAATGACTCAAAATGGAAGAGAACAACATTCAATCTAGTGTGTAGGCCAAACGGAGATTATTGAAGAAGAATGTTCTGGAGCTAAAGAGGGATACAAAATGCAATTTGAGAACTTAGGTTTTGCATTTGTGCCATCTATGCCTGCTTCTATGGTAACATAAACCATTATTTTGTACGCTTTCGAGAAAAAAATGTTTCATAGTGTACGGCTAACTTTTTGCATTTCGTCTATTAACAGCTATGCTCAAGATAGTATGAAACAGTATTGGTAATTTGAATCTGTATATTTAGATAGTTTGACATTGCCACCACTTGTGTAAAATTTAACTGTTTCCAAAAATATGACTCACCTTCCATACTTTGTACACAAGAAGTCAAGTGAGTGTGAAGCTTTTAGAATTGAGCAGGGACATTGAGTTGGCATATAATTGGATCAGGACGTGGTGGCTACACAGTGTCCTCAGTGAGGAAGTGTGTCTTGGTATCCTGGCAGCAGGTTCAAGCCCCACCTATTCTGGAGGCATGTCACTTTTGGCTTTTTCTTATAGTCCTTGGTGAAAGTTAAATAGTATGGCATTACTTCTAGCAGGTACCTAATTTAATGTTTTAAAAGTCTGCACATTAATCACAAGTATTCCAGTATGACACGAGATTCTGTTGATATCAACCTGGAATTTGCTGGGTTTGCCAAAATGAAGTTCAGTGAAATTAAATGAAACGCGGAGAAAACATATGCAGTTTGGTGGTGACCTTTTGAGTAGGATAGGCCACCATTTTTAAAATGTTTCTATGTTTTGCTGAAGGATTTATGTGAGGCTGGTTAGATTAGTGTGTTGTGACTCAGCAGTAATGGACTGAACTACCACAGTAACACAGAAAAGCTGAGACCTCGTGTAAAAACAGTCAGTTAATAAGAAGTGATAAAATGGACTGTTTCTCAGCTGAAATTGTGATTGTCATAGAATTGCCCTGTTTAACCACCATACAGTTGTTTGGTTGGCATAAGCACACACAAGGTAAAGCTGAGATCAAAGTTCATTAAAAGAAGGAAATAAGCCACTTTTCAAGGAGACACAAGAATAACCCAATTACTTCATTGATCAAACTGATGTAATGTTTGCTTGTGGGTAAACTGATCATTTGCTGGAAGCTGGACAGTGTGAAAGTTTGAAAGCGCGGCTTTTTTGTATGGAAAGGATATAGAAACCCTTGCCTCACAGCACAATTGGCTCGTTCAGGAATGGGTGGTTTGAGTAATAGCTGGAAGGTTGGGGCAAAGCAGACTGATCACCTGTTCCAGTCTGATCTTCAAACAAATTCACATAAACAGGTTCTCATACGGTTGTAAGCATCATATGGGTAAAATGTTTGAGGTATTTTCTGTAATGTACCTTGTTTTGATAAAGAAAATTAGATATATTCCAATTTTAGAACTGACTTGTGTTACTGATGTCCCAAGTAAACCTGACAGACCAGTGAAGGTGAGAATAAAAGCTCACAGTTTGCTAAAATATTCTGCAAGAGCAATAAGGCGTGTCTCATAAATATAATTACCAGAATCATCAATGGCAAGGGCAGATTTCAATGTATTGGTCAAACGGTAAGTTCCATCATTGCAATGTTTTCCACCGTAATCATCCTGGTCCAAAGCCCACAGCATGGCACCTCCTAAATTATGATCCTTCAGCCACTTTACCTACATGTCAAACAATATAATGATGCAATGAAAACCTGGAAAATAAAATTGGTCTTCTATTAAATAATGGGTGCTTTTGCTTCAAAAATTGTATTTCTAGGTGAATTGACTGGGATATTGCTCTTTAATAATGCTGATGAATACTCAGTTCCTGAACATGTAGGAGAGTTAAAAGCAGTGTGACAAATGGAGTTGAATCTGCCTAAAATTCACTTTTGCCAAGTTCGATGGAGAGTTTTCCTCATGAAGCCCAGTCAGTTATTTTTTGCTCGATCATCCCAAACTCGTCTCATTAACTACTATGGCCACATGGAACACCAATTGTCCAATGATAGCCTGATTCACCCACTCACCATGACCAGAAGTTAGTGCCACTGTAGGGGTTTCCTGGGATTCCTGACACCACTACTATCTTTAAAAGGAAGTTATACATGAGGACAAGTGTTGGAAACGTAGAGCACGCTTGGTGACATAGATGTGGAGAACTTGGAGTCCCGCTTTGCAGGCAGGAACCTGGAGGTCCTGGTCGATGGGATGGTGCAAAGGAAGGCTGTTCTCTTCACCCAGAATTGACAGTGGGGGCCACAACACCAGACCCTGCCAACCTGGTCTGAGGTTTCTGTCTGGGTCAGTCTGAACTCCACCATCCAGAGGGGCATGAAGCAATGTCACAGGGAATTACATTATTTTTGGAGTGTAAGCTGCTGGGACTTGCTATAGGTGTTACATTGAGACAGGATGCTGCTGTGTCACAAAGTTTCCACTCCCTTGACTGGTGGCTGCCTTGCTATCTATCTGCACCTAGCAGCAAGGCAAGACAAAACTATGAGCCATAAAGCTCTGGCTGAGAGGGCAAAGTGAAAAATGACATGGAAAGGCAGGAAAGCACCCAGGTAAGTGTAAAATGAATGGGCTAAGAGAGTAAAAGAGGAGCCTTGAGATGCTTCCTGGTCTAGTCTTTGAGCAAGGCGCCTGCTTGCTCAACAGGTCACTGTTTTTCCCAAATCTCTCACCATAGCCCACATTGATCAGGGTGTGAGATGATTCCACCCATGCTATTTTGTATTCCTTTTGAGATTCTAGGGTTTTCCCTGAGGAAGAGGAACAATAAATAAATTCTTTCATAATCAGCATGCTTTTTCATGGATTATTGCACACAGTTATATTGTACTGTCAATGCTTTTTCTCTCAGAATTCATGTAATAGCTTGAAATATGTTTTATTTCCTTTTGATAATGTTTATTGTTACTTCAGTAAATAATGATACACCGCACAATCTCATTTAAACAGACAAATTTACAAAAGTTTCTCAAGCTCTCACAGCCTCAGTAGTTCTATCTAAGCCCATTCTTATATCCTTTTGCCGATTGTAATGGCGATATGTAAAATTTATTTTTGTTACCAGTCCAAAATATGGAGTAGATAAGTCACAGATACTGAAATGTGGAATCAGTCTGAATACATCACATGGAGGGAGGGCTGGATCACATGATTTGAAATTAATTTGTACAATAGGAATTCTTGACTCCTGATGTGCTTTACTTGTAATGTTGGTCATACAGTGACCCCTTTTAATATCAGGCAATTGTTATTATAACCTTAGTTTGAAATTACTTTTCTTGCCATAACCAGACTAAATTGTTTGCTGTAAATTACACTGACTAAGGAAATACATTTTCATACTCAGATGCTGTTTAAAGTTTACGATTACATTCCATTTTAGGAGAAATACTAAGTTAACATGCTGCGGGACATGATCCTATTCAGACAGTGACCTAAGAGAGTTAGTTGACATTTGGAGTTCTGTGTGTAATTACTGCATCATCCATTTCACCAGACAAGAACTTCTCTTTTCAAACTCTACTACAAACTTTACTGAGAATATTAGCCTTGCGATTTAGTTTGCAATACCTAAATGATGTAATACAATCAATGCTTTTCTTTTAAAAGAACTGTATTAATATCCTCTAAATTGATGAATGAAAAAAACTTCTTTGATATACTTTTATTAACAACATTATCTTGTTTGAATAAATGGAGATCTCTGCTAAGAAGGAACTGTAATCTGAATACTTACGGTTATGTGTGAAAATAGTGCATTGAATACAAGGCACCTACTTTGATTTCATAGCTCTTCCGATTGTCATATCCAACCCATTCATTATCCTTGAATGTATAAGGAACCTGCAGTTTTTCACTAAATTTAATGGTAGCACCTTTCAAGAATTCACAGATCTGTAAATCAACAACATTAAGTTCTGTTAACATATCAGACAAATGAATCCTATTTCTCTTAATTTTGTTCCCATTTATATTCAGTATTTATTCAAATCAAATTCAGAATTAATAACATATTATTAGATGTAACAGAAAAACACAATTACATTTTTAACTGAAAAGAAAAAAAATCCTTTTCAAAAGCAAATATGTAAGAAAACCCACAAAGTAAAACAACATTGAGCAATAAATGGTTGTAGCATTATCGATTTATGCTGACAGTGAGGATTAATCCAAAATGATTTGAAGATTTATCTTCTTAGCAAATCTTTTTCAAAGCCATATAATGTAAACTTATGATCTATTGTAACTTTGTACGGGATAAAGATTTTTTTCTCTTTTTCTAATAGATATTGTTGTGATCCCAGCTGATGGTTCTACTGGACAAGTCAGATGACAGAATGAAACCTGGCTTGTTAGACCAAATGTTTAATCATTTTTAATTAATTTATGTGGTGGTTAGTGAATGAAATATGTTCACACGAGTCTGCAGTTGTTCTTTAACAGGAACTAAATTTATTACAGAAGAAAGTACACAACAGGACTAATCAATGTAATCTACACTACATAGATAGCATATACTTTACCACTTAAGGGAAGGTGATGATTGGCTATAGCTAGACTATTAATCCAGAAACACAGCAAATGTCTGGGCACCTGTGTACAAATCCCATCATGGCATTTGACAGAATTTGAATTCTATAAAAATTATCTGGAATTACGTATCTACTGATGATCTTGAAACCATTATCGATTGTTGGAAAAATGCATCAGCTTACTAATATTTCTCAGGGAAGGAAATCACACCTGGTCTGACCCACAGTAATGTGGTTGGTTCTCAACTGTCCTCTGAAATGGCCTAACAAGCCACTCAGTTGTATCAACCGCTGCATAGTCTCTCATGGGCTGCAGTGTTTCAAGAAGGCAGCTCACCAACACCTTCTCAGGGCAACTAGGAACAGCTGATAAATGCTGGTCCAGCCAGTGATTCCTACATCTCATGAATTAATTTCAATAATATTGCAGTTAGAAAGAGCTTTATACACATATCAAAACAAAGTTGCAATCAGTTTCTTAACATCACCTGTTATGAAGATTCAATCTCAAACAAGTCACCCTAATCTAATTTTTTAAAAAATCTGTACTTAACTGATGTTGGACAATTTCTTTTGCTTGAACTGTTGAGACAATTTTACAATTTCTTTCTAACAGAAAACTTGTCAATCTGAACAATTTAAAGATTTCTATCCAAAATGGTCCAGGCTTGGAAGTTTCAGAATCTACCAATCATTTTTACAGAAGTGACTGAGAGAGAGGGGGGGGGGTGGTTTCTGAAGAAGGGTCCAGACCCGAAACGTCAGCTTTCCTGCTCCTCTGATGCTGCTTGGCCTGCTGTGTTCATCTAGCTCTACACCTTGTTATCTCTTTTTACAGAAGTGACTGGTTCCCTTGAATTGAACCAAAATGTAAAATCTCCTATTAAGAGAGAACCTTTTCCCTTTTAAGCTAAACTCTTGTTTTCTTCTAAACTGAAGTCAAAACAAAATTAGTGGCTCTGCAAAGTCTTCTCTATGTGTCCTAAGCTCAAAAGTATAGACATGTTCTCCATTAACAAGACAGGAGTCTCTCCAGGCTCTTCATTGCCATTTTGAACTTATACACTTGGGTCACTATCCCAAAAGGACTTTCTGGCCTTTTCAAAAAAAAACTTTTCCAGAACTAACTAAAGACTACCTGCTTTCAATTTGAAATCCAAACCCAAAAATACAAACTCGCTTTTCAAAAGAGCATCAATCCCTTCTACACTTCTTGGTTGTAAAACAGTCCTTTCCCCAATTCAATCCACCATCAAAAATAAAGTAAAATGAAAAGATGTGCTTTCTTCATGCTTCCAGCCTTACAAGATCAAACACCGTTTTAAAAAGGTGTTTCATCACAAGGTAGATGATACACAAAGAGAAAAAATTACCTTCATTCATCCTTCCATCATCCCCTTATGCAACCTTATGTTATCTTAGCATTAATTAAACCTTTAACTTATTCCATCATTTGGCACTCAGTACAATGCATCTGCAATTACATTGTCTTTTCCAACAATGTGAATAATCTTGACATTGCATGATTAAATTAACAGACTCTACCTGAACAGACTTGCTCATATACATTTGTCAAAATTACTGTGCTTAATCCTTTTAAATTCAATTATAGTTTGCCCAGGCTGTTTCTGTAAATTCCAGAATATTTACCTATGTGCCTCACTAACTCATTAGTGGCCAATACAGTTTTTTTATTTCCACAGCAATATAAGGTTATGAAGCAAAAATCTCCTCCACTTTACCCATCAAATTTCTCTCTATTAACATTGTCCAGTCTTCATTTCCCAATTCATTTGTCTCGTTATTTTCTCAAATGAGATGAAGAATGCCTCCACAAATGGTATCCTCAAATGTTATGGTATGGCTTGTGCAAAATTAAACATTTCCTGCTGGTCTTTAAATTATTAACTCAGATTCTCCTTATCATAGGCTGCATCGGTATTTGACATCCACTGTTTCTACTGCTTCTTCCTAAGCTTATATTTACATTCCATCTCTTTCTCACTCATTTGTCTCCATTTCCTGTTTCTTCATGGACAGTTTATTTCACTTTTTTTCTTCTGGCTCAAGCTGTTTTAACCATAACAAAATATTACTTTATTCCAATGGTTTATAACTAAGAATACTTGGTCATTCTTGTATTTCTATTAAACTAGCTGCGCTTATACCTCTGTTAATTCTGTCTTCCATTTCTGTAAGACTTTGGTACCTCCAATTCAATTTTCTTACCAATTCAATTAACCTGAGTTTTTAAAGTTCACTTAAGACTCTCAGGGCCAGCCTGCTACTTGCATGAAATATTTATCAATTATCAGTGCTATTTCTTAACTGGAATACAGAAACTGGTACGTGTCAAGTTTATAATTTATTAATGTCACAGCCAAATCCTCGTTATCACTGTTTCAAACTCAATCCTAAGAAGAGCTCTCAAACTTTATGATGCCTTGCTGGAAACCAAGACCCATTATTTCTGGATTCATCTCAAAAGTTTTTGTTTAGAAGTTATCCCTGTATGTAAAGTGCACATTTACCTTTCTGATAGATTTTGGTTAACAGAAAACATGGACCAGTTTCTGTGTGCAAGAGCTACTCTTTATTGCAAAGAAATGGATTTTAACTACAGGCAAACACCTATGAACTTTCAACATATAATTCAACCTTAAAATGACAACCCATTTCTAAAGACCCCCTACACACACATGCAGACAGACAGACAAAAAGATATTGGTGTTACGGGTGGAGGAAAATAAAATAGAAACTTTAGAGACATTTGAACAGCTTGAGTTCTCAGAATTTAGTGGGGTGTTCCTTTTGTTTCCCAAGTCCTTCAGTTCCCTGATTACTTCCTTCAGGACCATTGATTTCATCATGGGAGGCCCAGAGCAACTGGTTCACATATGATAAAATGTCTGACTTACTGGTTAAAAGCAGCAACTTATAGAAACTGCTGGGACAAAATATCTGGCTTTCTTCAGACTTCAGGTATGTTTACTGGTGAGAAAGACACACCACCCTCTTCCAGATATCTGAAGGTTTTTCAACCTCAAGCTGTTCAGCTCTCCAGGAACTAATCAGAGAGTTGTCATCAGGTTGTGACATTTGACACCCAGACTTGTCACAATTACCCAAACCAATCAGCTGTATGTTGCTGGCCAAATCTTATTTTGCATACACCCCTGGTGCCAGCCCCACTGCTTGAACATAGCATCAGTGTGAACATGAATTACAAAGAGTTCCATTAATTTGCTTACACATTCTTTGGTTGTAAAACTGTCCTCTTCTTAATTCAGTCCACAAATAAAAATAAAGTAAAATAGGATGCGGTCTTTACAATATTACAATCATTTGTTTCTCCTCATGCATGGGATGTGAATGGGTATAGAGTATCAGATAGGCATATGGATGATAGTATAAGGTATAAGGAGGTTAGATAGACCTTAGGTTTCGGGTAAAAGTTCGGCATGACATCGTGGGCCGAAGGGCCTGTACTGTGCTGTACTGTTCTATGTTCTATGAATGTCTCTGGTTGGAACAGCACTTACTACCCATCCCTAGTTTACTCTGAAAAGATGGTGGTAAACTGCCCCCGCTTAATCTCTGCGGTACATCTGTTGTTAAATACATCCATAATGTTGTTAAGGAGTGAGCTGCGGGATTTTGATTGACTGACACTGAAAAAATAGCAACACGTTTACAGCGAGCGGCACGGTGACTCACTGGTTAGCATTGCCGCCTCGTTGTGCCAGGGACCCGGGTTTGTCTCCAGCCCTGGGTAACTGTCTGTGTGGAGTTTGCACATGGGTTTCCTCCCACAGTCTGAAGATGTGCAGGTTACAGGGTTAGTTTAGGTGGTGAGATAATCTTCAGAGGATCGGTGTGCACTCAAGGCTGTAGGAATGGCTGCAGCAATTCTATAATTCTATGTTTCTAGGAAGACAGGATGATGAGTGACTTGAAAGGATCTTGAAAATGGTGGTGTTAACATGTATCTACTGCCGATTAACTTCTCAATTCTGATACTCCTGGTTTTGGAAGAAGCTGCCAACGGGCCTTTGTCGAGTTATAGAATCCCGTTAGTGCAGATCGAGTGTGGGCTGGAGTAATGCCGGCAGGAGGCAGTAGTGGTCAGCGGGGAGAGCGGGGCCCGGTGAGGCAGTAGTGGTCAGCGGGGAGAGCGGGGCCCGGTGAGGCAGTGATGGCGGGGAGAGCGGGGCCCGGTGAGGCAGTGATGGCGGGGAGAGCGGGGCCCGGTGAGGCAGTGA